ACTGTCTACCAGAACTATTGTTCAGATCTGAGGGGATTCTAAGAAGGGAGCTAAGAGGACAGGAACCTGAAGCTAGTACTTAGAACATCCTTTAATAAACTACTACTTGTTCTAAAGGGAACATACAGCTTACTTAACCTTGTTGTCTAAGAGGGTGAGTATATACACTAACATTTCCTCATTAACCTCTCTCTTTCAACAAGGACAGACTCATGTCCTTAGCTGTGAACTCAGCTGAGACTATCCCTACTTAATACTATAGACAAACTACTAAGTAGTAAACAGGGCTGAATAGTGTTCTAAACATTCTAAGATCTTAGAACACAGAAGTAGCAGGTCAGATTGTACAGATTTAGACTCAGATAAAGTACAAAGAGAAGAATCAAAAGAATCAGAAGAAATAAGAGAACTATCTACTTTTGTTTTTGACTTTTTTCTTTCTAATAAATAATTTTGTTGATTTACTTTTTCTACTTTTTCTACTTTTCTTACTTTATTTACTTCTAATCCTACAGTGTCTATTGAATCAAAAGTAGCTATTAAAAAATCCAAGTCATAGCCCTTTAGTACTACATTTACTGTTAGGCCTTCACAAAATCCTAGAGTATATAGTCAGAGTATAGGAGTTCTGAGGTGACTTCTGGATTTGTAGAAAAGGCTTCTTACTACAAATCCTGCTTGTAACTTGTTATTACTCTAATGATCTAACAGATATACTATTACTTCTGTAGGTAGTCCTTAATCTAATACTCTGACTTTCTGTAGGTAAAGTATGCTCCTTACTTTTAGGCTTCTCTAATGTCTATCAGAACAGATTGATTACAAATTATAGACAGATCAATCTGTAGGTTTAGAACTGTCAGAGCTAGACACATGTGTAAGCATTCTGTACAGACTTAACACATCTAAGCTACAGCTTGGTTGAAGGAAATAGTGTATGTCTTCTACTCAGTGTAAGTAATCAGTTCTAGCATCATTCTGAGAATCTTATTAACTAGTTCTAGGTGAAGAGCTTTTTCAAGTATTCTAATAAGAACATTATCAAACCTAAACACAAATCCTACCTTCTAGGCCAGGATATTAAACTTCTGAAAGAAGGTATTAGTAGAATGTTTGCCCTGTCACAGAGACACAAGCTTGTTCTACACATTGTGCTTCTTATTTAGATTGATAAAGAAAGTACAGAGCTACCTTATGAATTCTGAATATGACTCATTGTTCTGAAGTCAGATCAGGCTTCTAATCTGATAGCCTTTGATCCAGTTCTAAGCCCAGGTGGCTGTATTGCCTTCCTTCTATAGTTGCTGAAGTCTGGTCCAGGTACAGTCTGGGGGATCTTGGTCACAGAGTCACGCTCCACATAGCCCCTATTTTTTGCTAAAAAAGCACATGAACACTTACTTTTTCAAGGGCTATCATATACTGTATTTACCTTTTAAAGTTGTTGTGTGGTTGGCTCAACCAAGATGCCCCAGACTGTACCTGGACTGGACTTTGGCAACTATACTTCCTTCATGAAGGAGAGGACAAATAGGACACAATCAAGATCTGAGAATAGATCAGTCAAAATAGTAGTTATATATAGTTTGACTTAGTGCTAGAAGTCCTTAAAGTGCTATCTATTAAAGTCTAAAGGGTAGACTACATACACTTTCTTTCTAGAACAGGTTGTAACTTCTGAAACAACTAGAACAGGTTCTAAAGAGGCTAAAGGTATATAGTTAGTAAAAGTCTCTTAGATAGAGGTCTACACATATTAAGCTAGGTCTGCTCATAACTACTGATCTGGCAGGACAGTAGGGGTGGCAGTAGGGACTGGTGTGGTTAGGGGGATCCATAGTATCCATACTACAGATGAACTTTCCCACAGTATCCATACTAGTAGATAAATTCCCACGGTTTCCGTGGTTTGTATGGTTTCCAGTGTAGCATGTCACAGTAGCATAACAAAATATAGTTACTCACTCATTTGCCTGTCTGTCTTGCTAAAATCTCAAAGAAACACAAACCCTATATCATAATTATTCTATGTCTGAGGATCAGCCTCTTCTCCTTTCAAATTTTCCCTATAAGAAGTATTACAACATGACTGGAGTGCCAGTTACTCTGGATGCTTCTTCTCTCACATTCTGATCACAGCCATCACAAGAAGCTCTTTGTATAGGGCCAGTAGCAGAAGCTCCTACAGTACAGCTATTAAGACCTAGACAAAGGATTCAGAAAACACTGTCTGTTACTAGGATGAGTAATGCTGAAGTTTGGTCAATGTCAGATAAAGAAATAGTTGGTAAGCTATTAAAATGTATTCTTTTTTTCTTATACTAATTAGAGGCTAAGAGGATGCAAATGGATTGAAATTTGATTTATTTCTCTTTTTTCATATTTATGGAAAACAAAAAAAAATTAATTTCTTGTATAATTTTCATTTAAATACCCATGTAATATTTTATCTTAGCTTGTATATGATTAATTTTACATAATTGTGTAATATAAGTACAAAATAGCATAAAAAATCTAAATGTTATATACAGGAATTGAACTGTGGCACAGTAACCACAGTTCATCTGGTAACTGTGGGAATTCCATCTGTGGTTCACCTTATCTGTAGTGTGGATCAAATAAACCACAGATGGATACCATGCCAGTCCCTAGGTGGCAGTTAGTGTAAGAGGGTCCATGTTTACACTACAAAGGAATCAGCACTAAACTAAAAGGGGTAATAAATAGAAGAAGGGTAGCAAAAGTTTAAAAGGGTTTAGAAAGTTTAAAATTTAAAAATGTAAAAGGGTTAGGACAAAGAAAAGAGATCAACACAATGGCAAGTACTAATGCTTGAAACATAGGAGAGTTGTAGGGTGGTAATGAGTAGTCTTGATCTAATATTAGCAATAGTATAGAGGGGACCTGAAGGCTTAGTAAGGGGACTCAGGCTACAACTATCTTACACAATAGAAATACAGAATGTAAGTACTAGAACATAGTTAGAACTTGTAGAACAAGTAGAGAGAGAGAGTGAGACAAGAGTAGAGTATATAGAGTAAGCCTAAGAGTACAGGACTACCTAGAGTAGACAAGATCAAGACTACTAGACTAGTCTGATCTTGTATACCTATATATACTAAACTATACAAGAGTACTCAGAGAGTATAAGCTACTAAGAATGATGAGCCACAAAGAATGAAAGAAAGGAAGGTTAAAGATAAAGGTACAAAGAATGAAGGGATGGACAAAGGGTAAGAGACCATAGAATGAACAAAGAATGAAGGGGTGGTTAAAGGAATGGAATAGTAAAGTAAGGAAGGGTAGTAGTAAGAGTCAGCATGTATATAGTTTATAAACAGTACCCCTGAGGGACAGAAGTCCCAAGTTCTAGTGTAGAAGAGTGCAGAACCCTTGAAACTGAAAGTACAAGAGTAGAAAACTGTAACACATATCTTATATTCCTTCACACTAGCCAACTTTTCTGTTCCCTCAAAGAACTTTGTAATGTTAGAGTCCTTCATTATAGTGTTAACAAAGGTATGTGTTGTAGACAACATTGTAATAGGTTTGGGGGAAGAGGGAGGTTTAGGGCTTGGTAGTCTAGTAGGAGGTGAAGGTGTTCTGTAAGAGCAAGTGTGTGGGAGCATTCAATAGGCACTAAGGCTCATAACCTTTTAACAAGTATAGTAGGAGTACCCTAAGTACTCTCTCTTATTAAGACATCAAGCAAGTGTCTGCCTTATATACTACATAGTGAAGTCTGATAATCTGAGACATTCCAAGTACAGTAACTCTACATAAGGTAATTGGGGATTTCCTAATCCAGAGCACAATCTAATAGAGTATATTCAGGTTTATTTTTATTTTTTATTATTTTATTTTTATTATTTTATTATTTTTCCTTGCTACCCTCAAAGGCTTGGACACAAGTAATTGTACACAATACACTGGCAAACAGCATCAAACAGATATAAACTGTGAGAGGTCTCAAGGCAAGGAACTTCACTTAACATGCCTGTTCTCACCTTCTCATCAGCTACAATACACTGGATTACGTTAGTACCTAGAACATCTTTTCTGATAACATTTCTCCTAGTTTTCTTAGACCGTATTTTACAATCAGGTAGCAGAACATTCATTCAAATTAACTGCCATATAACAAGTATTACTGTTTGATAAGTCAGTTCAATGTACAGTCAGTTTGTGTGAGAGCATCCTCAAAACTCGCGTTGTCAAACTGCACATCTGTTTTGATTGTATCATATTGTGAATGATTACGACTCGGGTGTCCCAGGCAGCACTCCGCTCACATAGGACATATTAAAATCAGTCAATTGCAAAGGCGTTGTTCGGGTGGTGCACAAATAAATAAACACCTATCCACCAAGCGGTTACCTCAAGTGAAATACTTGAACAGTATACCCTGTACTGGCAACAAGAGCTCCACTCCAAGGTTCAACCGTGACGACTGGTTCGCCCTGGCTGGTTTCGTGTATATCTAATTCCAGCTCCGCTATGGGCTGTTCCTCCTCGGAGAACAGCGAGAAACACCTGAGATTTCTTCGGAAGCACACAAGATACCCTGAATTTGAGACGCAGTGCGAATCCCATGGTAAATGATGTGCGGAAGAGCGCGTCGTGCTTTTCAGGACGAGCTGCAGTCTATCCGCTAGCGTGTTATCTCCTTCGGAGGATGAGTAAAGTTGGACTCTGAATGTGAGAAATACCTTTGGCATCTCCCATAAATTGCCGTAACCAACAATGTACATCTCTGCGGGAGCATTCTCCATCCAAGTTGGGGTGAATAGGTGTGTGGTGAGCATCCACGGTCCATCATTATTCACAGGAGATAACGTAAGGACGGAACCTCTTTCCAGGTTATAAACGAAAGTATTCCATATTCGGTAATCGGAGGCTGATGACCATTGCTCATCAAGAATTGATAACGGGAGAGCGACCACGGAAAGACCATTCCGTAGTTTCGTAGTAACAAGGAGGTGTCTTGAGTGAATGTTTGCAGAACGTACATCTATATTACTATTGGTTCCCTAAGAGAAACATGTGAAACAACGCTCATTCAAGCCATGTAACTTGATGTAAGAATTCGCCACTCACAGATGAGTCTACAAAGGTTAGAAACACGCCTCTCTTCGTCCTCCAGTTCACGATAACAGTTTGACAGTGATGCAGAAGGAGAGCCAGACAGAAGTCATCTTGTATTGAAAGACGAAAGATACTTGTATATGGCAAACCTGCTGTATATACAACATCTACAGTGCCTTCCTCCACCCGATAGCGGAAGACGCGCAGATACCTTTGTTTGTTATAGCTTTAGTCATTGAGATCGGGGAATACACTCACGTAGTCTCATCTTCGGGAATAATAAATTCTGCAACGATCACAATATCCGATCCGCTTTCTAACGTATGGAAGTCAAAAGACGAGCACTGGTAATCACCATGGAATTCAGGAGCCTGCCAGGCGCACGAGGCCGTTTCCAATGACCATAACTCGAGTCGACCCGAATTGAGGACTAGGAGTTGTCTTCCACCCGGAAGTAGCCGCGCCATCATCGGTACACGAGAACCATACTGTGGGGACTCGATCTGTAATGACAAACCGTGAAAGACGCGGAGCTTGCCAGCCTTCCTCCAGGAATGAAAGCATTTAACAGCGTCAGTCACGATCGTCTTAAGACTGTTGACTGTTAGGTCCCTGCAGGACTGGTAAGGAGGAAGATTCGGCGAACACGCAACATCAAAATTATGGAGAAGCCTCAACCATACTAAGCGAGTGTTACACAAACGGCTGAATTGCTTGCATGTCTAAACAAAGATGTCGTGTATCTGAATGACTCTGTTTTGGGGGGATTTACTCACCATCTCTAGGCACAGAACACCCTCGATTGAGCAATGATGTACGATTTCTGCAAGAAGTTCGTCTGGTAAAGTCAGCAGGGAGCAAAAGTTCTTCGACATAAATGTTAGGCGTTCTGTAACAATATTAATGTCGAATTCTCCGGGGTATTCGGCCTTATAAGACCTGACGGGAACAGTCTGCAGCACATAACGGAGCCAATCATACTATAAGCAAATGGACATGTCAAGTATGCTGTCCGATGATGCTAGGATGTCCTCTCTTTGCGCTGCGTGACACAGAAGAGCAAAGTGGTCGCTGCAAGCGCGCAATAACTGATCGACTGAGATTTTGGGGGGACCGTGGGAATGCGCGTCTCGCAGAACCGAAAGTAGGACTACCCATTATTCCGTGTCTTCAATTCCGACCCAGCCGACCCAGCCTACAAGACAAATGACGAGAACGGAAACAATTACATTTCAAGACACTAGCAAGCTAATATTTTCATTAGTTTGCTCTAAAGCAAGACGTTCATGCAAGCGCACCTCCGAAGGATCGCCTTGCTACCAATCAGAGCAGTACTAGTGACTACATTGTGCTGGTACATGGAGGGCGCTTGCATGTGTCGTCACGAGGCTTTTCAATAGATCAACACGATTTGAATGGAATCGCTGGGTATGCAACCGTTAAGGCAAATCGGCTTTGTCGGTCCTTACGGATCTTAACATGAGGTCACCAACTTACCGCGGTCCAGCCGGAACAACATTTTCGACTTTCTTATACTTCAGCTGCGACGCAGACAATCGTGCCATCCAGCAACTTTACTACGAATCTGCTCTGTGTACGGTGATCCACCTTGGTGCTTTGTTTTAATATTTACCGTATTCGCGTGTTCGCCCAGTACATTGTTTAATCTTACACGTAAGTCGTTGTCATCGTTCGTAATAGCGAGCTTCCTTTTGCTCATCAAAGGACCTTCTTACGCCACCTGTATAGTGGATTTCGCTGGGCCTAAAAATCAGCCCTTGAACGCGTGTCAAGTTCCCTTTCTTTAGAAAGCGGTTCAGAGGTTGTCTTCATTCACTTCTACCCTCCTACTTCTACTCTCTGCTCCAAAGGACGTTATTATCAGTCATCTTCTAACAAGTATCTAGCCCCCGTTCGACTGGTGGGTGGAGACGCTCAGGGTGCTTCGACGCAATAATGCAGAAGGAGGAAGTCTCTGACCCAGAAGACGGGTCTGTGTCGATTCAATACATAGAAGGAGAAATAAATGTGAACACTACATCTGGCAATGCCAATAGTATTCAGACCCCTCGACAAAATGATGCATCTTGGAGCGGTGGAAGGTTCTGGGCGTGGGCGACAGTGGTTTCTGCGTAAGGCCTTGCTCATGACCTGTCTTCATTTCAAATAATTTAGCACATGTATCAGATTCATCATCCAGTTCGCTGGATTTGGGTGATTATTATTCCGTTTCGTTTGGATGGCGATTAACGGAGTGTTGTATTTTTTTTGTTATACAGCTATGCCAATGCGTTCGGAGTCTTTCAAGGTAGGATTTTGTCGCCGTAATAACCCCTTCGGTACTAAATCATGAGTAAACAAGACTTCTATGTACGTGAATTTTTGACATCAAGCTCGTCATCGCAGATTAGGTACGCGGTTCTTTAACTTAGACTCCAACTCGCCTACTCACCGTGTTGTATCTGAAATAGCTGGATCGGCAGCACCCAAACCTTTTTTATGTTGACCATGGGTATATTCACCGGCCGCCTCTTTGACAAGGGTTACTGGTGATGGATATTCGAATTTCGTGCTGATTGTAAAGGCTTACATCGTCACTCAGCTATCATCTTGTATATACTGGAACCATCCTGCTTGTATTCAGCCTATTCATGCTTTCTCTGGCGAGGCCAGAACAGTACTATCAGGTAGGATAAATGGCTTGGAATTGGTATCACCTTTACATTGTTTACACCTTCAGGTGTTCCTCGCACAGGGGCTTGGTGTTGGAATGGGTGCAGGTCTCTCGTACACACCCTCCCTTGCTGTCCTAGCACAGCACTTCCCCAGCCCACACGCCCGAGCCCGTGTAATGGGCATTGCAACAGCAGGTTCTTCACTTGGTGGGCTCACACATCCAATACTACTGAATCAGCTATTTCATCACAACAACGACGGCGGTATTGGTGAGACGCGGAAGGTATTTGCTCGCGGCACTCGCGCAAGCGCTGGCCTCGTTGCGGGACTACTGCTTATCGCCCTGCTATTTCTGCGGACGAAATACCCGAATAAGGACGGCATTGAAATGACTGATGAAGATCGAGAAAAAGAAGGTCATGAAAGAAAGCCGATGAAACTCAAGCCAATGGTTGTGAAGTTCGCATCGGATTGTCCTTACGTTTACTTTGTTATCGGGTAAGTGAATAATGTTGCGGTGGGATGTACAATAATGCTCCAACTGAGTGTTCGCTCCAGAATGACATTATACGAGATGGTATTCTTCTTCCCAGCTTTTTACCTGCAACTCGATGCCATCAAGCGAGGCCTAGACCCTACCTTTGCTTTCTATTCTGTACGTACCTGCTTTGGAAATTGAGCACAAGAATTCTGACAAATGGTGGTACAGCTATCAATCCTCAATGGCGTCTCGTTCTTTGGTCGACTGGTCCCTGGCTTCTTTGCACGTCCGCTTGGCGTTGCCAACATGTTTGTATTTTCAACGGCAGGCGCGACTGTCCTCATTTTCTGTATGCTTGCTGTGCGGACTATTCCCGGTGTTGCAACATTCGCAGCGTTATATGGCTTCTTCTCGGGTGCATGTAGGTGTTTCGTCCTTCCTGCCACCAATGTAGACAATGTAATGAAAACGGACGTGTTGTTTTAGTTATTACTCTCATGAGTCCAATGCTTGTTCTACTAGCAGAGGGCCCAGCTGAAATAGGGTATGTCCTGACTTCATGACTGTAACCGATACCTGATTTATACTGCAATACAGAGCCCGAATGGGCATGTGCTTTGCATTCACAGGTCAGTTTCTATATTTATCCCTTTATGAGAATTGCTACCTATCGAATAATATTCTTGACAGGGGTTGGAAGCTTGATAGGTTTGCTGGCTAAACTCACTTTGATTCTTATCCTTGGATAGCTCAACTCATGATCGAATTACCAGGAACACCGATTGCAGGTGCACTACTCACATCAAGGTTCCTCTGGTGGCGGCCCATCATCTTCAGTGGCGTAAGTGGCGTACCATAACGCAAACCTTCGTTCAGTACCCAATTTTTCGCTCGCAGATCATCTGCGTTTTCGGATTTGCCTTGTTCATGGCTTGTCGTATAATACTGGGAAGACGAAAAGGATCCGCTTGGCTCGTCTAGGCCTTCGAATAGTCTTACAATATGTAAGTAATGCGTTATCAATTTGTTCACCAAGATCTTCGTGGTTTACAATACTTATTGCAAACTGTGATTCGTAAAGGAACAGATCATGTACATGAGTGAACGGCTCTTCGTTTCAATCGGACATGACACGGACCATTGCCGCAAAATGTGCGATCCCGAATTTGAAATGTACCTACGTGCCTGTGCACAGCGTATTGAGTCCGTCGATAAGCAAGAACTTTTGCGTTTTGCCACCGATGGGACGCAACATCGCCACTTTAATCCTTATTCTTCTGACTGTCCTGCTTACTAGTACCAGTGGTCCCTCTTCACGGCACAATTGTCTCAGTACACTTCTCAGAAACGTCGGTCCCATGCATGGAGTAGCAATTAACCTGCTGTTTATAAAGGATATCCCAATTTTACTAAGCTTTTGTTACCTGCACTTGAGACCGCCAGATCCTTTCCAGAGCCCAGATCAACATGTCCGAGTTGTCACCGCTTCTTCCAGTATCCATCTTTTTCACGGATCAGATATACACACTGAGACACTTCAAGGCTCTGATTCATGCGAGGAGTTAGGAAGCTGCCAGCTTTAAGTTCAAAATGAATATATGAATATATTGATCGCTCGAGGGATAGCTCAGTCTTACGTCGGTGAGGGCATTTTATCAGCATTAGTAAACCCGGTAGATCTTAGGGCAGCTTATCTCTGTTTATTAAGTGTTAAGTGTTGATTTCATTACAGTATAAGTAAATAGATATCAGGAAAGAGTGGGCCATACATTGCGAGGAATTTTCCGTTACTTAATGAATACTGTTATCCTAATCGTGAGAAAATGGCATTGACTTGGTCGGTTGCTGTGTTGATTGCTTTAACGTTCTGTAACTTAACTGCTTCTTTACCAGCAGAAACTGTTTCATCAAACCGTGTAGTGTCTGGAACTAATGCTGCTTGAGAAACATGCAGTTTCTGAAGTCGATCACTAAGGGCATCTATCTTTTTCTTTGCCTTGTTTAACGCCCGAACACCCTCAACTGCTACAGATTGAAATTCATTTTGTAGGTCTGTATCATCATTGTCATATCTCACAGACTCGTTTGCTTGGTTCTCTATGTCTTTACAGAGCTGTTCAACTCTCTTGATGATGTTGTTGTAGAACGTATATCTTTCATATCTTTTGCTTGTTTTTACTTTTTGCTCGTGTATTCGTTTTCTTACTCTTGCAACAGCTCTGTCAAAAGCATCTGTTGCTTCTTTTGGTTCTTCAGAATCATGCAGCCTTTGAACCATCATGTCCCAAGTTGGTGTAAGTCTTGGCTGTCGTTTTTCCTTTCTAGTTTTCTTGTGCATAATGACGTGTCAGTAGGAAAACACACAGAGTGTATCTAATGTGATATTGGAGTCTGTTCAAGACACGTCTGGGAATTTCAGACAGATAGTTTTGCAGGCACTGCTGTAATTTATATATGGATGGGTTCTGGAGTTTGCACATCAGGTAGTAATAGCAACAGGTTGCAAAGTATGTGTATAGCATTACTAGACTTGTCAGAGTGTGTAAGACAATATTTGTTCATTGGTCCGAATGTATTGTGATTACAATCAGTGTATAAAACTAAGTGTAAAAATGGTTCACAGGTACTCTGTAACTCTGACACTATATATGTGTACTGTCTGTATAAACATAATGTGACATTTAATCTGAAGGTATCTTCCTTTGTATCTCTCACTTTGCAGCTATAGTATGTTGCTTCTTGCACATTATACTAGACACTAGTTATACAAATCAGTGTGGATCTACAATTTTTTAACTAGAGCCTTTATAGTATCTGACTCTATGTATTGTAATAAGTTTAATCCATAAACTATAACACTATACTGTATTAGTATATATTATTAATTGTGTTTTCTCCTTAAAAAGGAAACTCTCTATAAGTTGTACATATAGAAATAATAATAAAAATTGTATTAGAGTCTAAGTATAATGTCTCTCTCATCCATTAACACATTTAGACTATACCTTTAATGTCAAATATATTATGTATCAACTTACATGTTATATTTATAGTAGTCATTTCTGTTTTCCTAAACTCTTACTACTAGTACTTCTTAAGACCTCTAAACTATCTCTAAATCAATTTGTTTAAGAAGTTACTACTTTTTTGTTTACAGATCTTTTCTATAAACTAGACATGTACTATAAGACACTCTGTAAGTCTAATTTATATAAGAAACTAGAGTGTGTTGTTTTTACACTTAATGTAATACATTGGCTATTTGAGAGATACTCTAGTATCATATAAGTAAAAGTATTGTATTAACATTAGTAAATCCAGGAATTTTAGAACAAAACTATAAAGATATATAAAATGTGTTTAAGCTAAAATACTTGTGTGTTAAAGTCTTCCACCTATTTATTATTCTGTCTATTAATTTAGAGAAACTCATATCTTTCCTATTAAATCAGTTACTATTTTATTTAGCACATTTTAGTATACTTACCTAATTGTATACTAGAATGTTGCTTGATACAAAAGATTTAAATAATGTATTCCTCATTCTATAAACTTATGATAGAAAGTGTTAAGCTAATACACACAGTCCAAAGATAGTAGAGGTCTTTGGAAATAGTATAAATAGTAAACTAACAAAACCCAACATTATTGTTTACCTTATATAAAGTATATATAAGATTTGAAAAAAATCTAATTCTGTACTTAGAATTTCTGTTCATATTTAATGTAAGGTTTGCTTTATACTATTCTTAATAGACACAGAATAATAATTTTATACTACAGACAATTTATACTAAGTAGAGTACACTTTCTATATAAATATCTATCTCTTTCTATCTAATGTTTATATAGATAGTAAGGCCTATTTGATTTCTGCTTCTTTATTAAGTACTCAACAGACAGGAGAATATATAAGTGATGAGTTACAAAGAACAGCTATTTATATTTTTAACCAAACACCCTTTTTCTTTTTGGTAGTATTTGTAAAGCTCTAATTTGTCCTATTGCCTCTTTAAGTATTCTTGTGTTCTTTAACTCAATAGCTTGCTCCCCTGCAGCTTTCTTAGATTCAAATAGGTCAACTTGTTGCTGTGATTCAGCAATACTTTTATTAAGTTTGTCAAGGGCAACATAAAGACTGTTCATACTTTTAATTGTTGAAGTTAAGTGCTGCTGAACTGGAATCATCCCAGATTCAAATACTCTTTGTAGATCTTTATCATTGTCATCCTGTTTGTACGCTTCATCTGTTTGACTCTTGATATTCTGCAACAGGGTTTCGGTTCTGTCAATTAGAGGCTTTATTGACTGGAGCCTTTCATATCGTTTAATACATTTCTTTCTTTTTCTGGCCATTTCTGGGCCAATTGTACTAATGGCTGTATGAAATTGAGATCTTGCCTGCTCAAATTCTACATTGTTCTGTACACTTTCAGCCCTTTCATCCCATTTTGGTGTATCTTTCCTTTCTAACTGTTTCTTTCCTGATCCTCTATTGCTCATGACAACTCTTTAATGACAAAGGTTAGAGGAGCAAGTACAAACTTTGTTTGTGAAGGGTTAGAAGAGGGGAGGGGGTATGGTAAGTGGCTACTGCAATTTATGGTAGAAGGGAACTATAAGTTTGCACATTGGATATCAAGCCAAATACTATTACAGTATTAATTAAAACCATATTGCAAAGTATTTGATAGTAAGCTGAAAGTGTGTGACAGTGAAAGAAAAACAGTACACAGTATAGTATAAAGTGTTATATTGTGTGATAACTTTGCCATGCCTTAATACTTATTGGGTCTTTGTTCATCACCTGCCCTGACACAATGCAAGCTGTAACTTATTTCTTGACTGTTCTTGTTTCCATGTTTCGTATCACTCAGCCCTTGGCCAGCAAAATATCACGTGCACAAGTACATGCGAACAAGTTTGGTTGGGCATGTACGATTCGCATCGCTATACTGTACGGGTCTGTTTTACTTGATGCACGAGCCTCAATATTTTGTTTGCGTTCTCTCCTCGTGGCAATGCGTTATAAATCGTTTGGGTGTTGCGATATGATTTGAACGACAGCGAGCACAACGCACTGAAACATCTGGCACGACTTCCTGATATATCCGTGGGTCAAACTATGACGCTCCTTTGTGCTGCGTATGACCAAGGCACTGGCGGACCACCCAGGTCCAAATTCACTGTAGACAGCATCCCAGTTCTGCCAGGAAAAGTCGTAATAGTCACTGGTTCAGGCGTCGGTCTGTGGAGACAGTGCAAGCACGGCTGAAGAAGAATGCAAAGGTGTATATTGCTGGGAGGAATAGAGCAAAGGCGAAGGCTGCGATTTCTAGAGTTGATTAAGGATACCGGGAAGGAAGCGATCTTCCTCGAGCTGGACGTTGCGAGTCTGAAATCCGTGAAGAAAGCTGCTGAGGAATTCATGAGGTGTGTATTTATTTTTCAACCCCTTCCAGCGTCAAATTTTCTGATCTGTTGACGTCAATAGCAAAGTGAACCAACTCCATATCTTATTCAACAATGGGTATGTTCTCCACCTCGCTCAAGAGGTACTGATTTCAATCTGTTAGCGGAGTAATGTATCCGCCAGTCGAACAACTCACAGCTGACGGATATGACCTTCAATTCGACACTAACGTACTCGGTCTGTGATACGGTCTTACACGCACAGCTTTCGTCTGAATTTCCAATCGCTTGTAGGCCATTTTAACTTTGCACACTCCTCATCCTCATCCTCCTCAAAACCGCTAAGCCATTACCCGACTCCGGGTCGCCACGAGCTCTTCTTTCGGGCATATTACATGTCTCTTCCAACTTCCGCTACGAGGCTCTACGTGATTCACCAGAACACAAGAAGTTCCGCACCTTTAATCTCTACTATCAAAGCAACTTCAGAAACGTTCTAATTGCTCGTGAACTGGTGAGGAGATATGGTGATCAACTTGCCATATCCGCGACCCACAATCTGGGAACTATCAGGACGGAGATGGCGAGAAGTATGAGCTCGATTCGACAGAAGCTATTTGTTTGTCTGTCTATCTTTTTATTCCAACGTATTTATGATACTAACGTACACATTTTAGGACCCATCTCTTTACTCAGCTCAGCTTGGCGCACTCACACGATTGTATACTGGAACGTCTCCAGCTACAAGGATTTTAATGGTGCATACCTTATCCCATAGTTTGAGTATGGGATACATAACGAAGACAGTTAGTTATTGTCATCTCTCACAAAGTAGTCTCCTTTACGTTTCCTACTCGGCTGCATAATAGCATACAAAGCACAAGTATCCTGAAATACTCTGAGCCAATGAAGGTATGCAAATCAATTTGTGTTTAATTGCATAATACACAGTACGAGATGTTAGCAGCACAAATCTGCACGCGCGTATTTTTTTTACAGCTGAAGCCGATACGCGTATGGCTAGTTAGGCTCAACTGGCTTTGCGCGTCGTATCGGCATGCACGATCTGGCTCACCATACCGTATGGGTATATTCCGTTGATTGTGTTTTCACGTAATAGTCCTCTATAAATCGTATGCGCTGGAATGATATAAAGAATAGATTGCGGCGCGAACAGTCGAACTTGAAGTTCAGAGTACGAGTACGACGTCTCCTCCGCATACCAAAATATCTAGACTAGACAGAACGTTTTTCTTGCGTCCATGGGCCAAACATTAACAGTCATCCGTACAGGGTTCGACCAATCCAGACCTCCCAAGCCGACCTTTACTATTGATGACGTCCCAGACTTGTCGGGAAAAGTCGTAATTGTCACTGGCGGGTATGCAGGCATCGGTTTGGAAACAGTGCGAGTGTTGCTGAAGAAGAATGCGAAAGTGTACTTTGCTGGGAGGAATAAGGCAAAGGCGGAAGCTGTGATTTCGGAGTTGAGTAAGGATACAAGAAAGGAAGCGATCTTCCTTGAGCTGGATCTTGCAAGTCTGAAATCCGTGAAGAAAGCTGCTGAGGAATATATGAGGTGTGTGTATTTATTCTTTTAATCCTTTTCAATGCCAGCTTTTCTGATCTGTTGGCTCAATCAGCAAAGAAACGCAACTCCATGTCTTATTCAACAACGGGTGTGTTCTCCGTCTTGCATGTTTTATTTGCACTGATTTTATTTTGGTAGTGGAGTGATGCAAGTGGCAGTCGAGCAGCTCACAGTTGACGGATATGATTTGCACTTTGGCACGAACGTACTCGGTAAGTAAAGTAATTCCACCACACACAGGAGCACTTTGATCTGGGTTTTAAACTGCATACAGGCCATTTCTACTTCACCCGGCTCCTCATCCCGGTTCTAGTTGAAACCGCCAAGTCCTTCTCGAGACTGCTGTAAGGATTGCATTACAGTATGTATTTTACTTTTATCTAGAGTGCTGACTTACTTTGTGGGTCATGCATTTGGACCCACAAGCACTCATACCCCTTTGTAGTTAGTAAGTTAGTTCCCTAGGGTCGGCCTCATGTATTCCATAGCATATATAAGACAGTCTCGATCGATGGGCAAAGGGGACTTTTCCCTCTCTGCCGTCGCTCGAGTACTAGGTTATCCCAGTCAGTACTTGAATGACCTAAGAGCAGATTAGTTCTCTTGTAAGGAACAGTGAGTTTCCTTACAACCGCTAAGTCTTCAGCTGACTCCCACGTCCGAGTCGTTACAACCTCCTCATATGGACACATGCTGCACGCTTCTTCCAACATTCGCTACGATACTCTACGTGATACACCCGAACACAAGAAATTCGGCACCTTAAACCTTTACAACCAAAGTAAATTCGGGAACGTCCTTATTGCTCGTGAACTTGCGAGGAGGTATGGTGATCAGGGTATCGTTTCCACGTCTCTTAATCCTGGAAATATCACATCGGAGCTTCAGAGACATTTGAAGGGACTTCTGAAGAAGATAATTGTTCGTTTGTATTTTATTTATCTTATCAGTTGAACTTATATGAATGGTACAATGCTGACGTACACCAAACGGAACCTGATGCTTTATCCAACGCCGCTCGGCGCCCTTACTCAGTTATACGCTGGAACTTCTCCGGACGCAAAAGATTTGAATGGCGGATACCTCATTCCGTGGGCACGTGTCTCGGAATGTCGGAAAGTTGCTCGTGATCCAAAGGTAGCAGAGGAATTGTGGAAGTGGTGCGAGGAGCAAGTCAAGGATGTCTAATTAATTATACAGAAAGTGCAGAACTATAAATATAACATTGTTACTGTTGTTCCAGTCAATATAGTGCTTGTATGCATGATAAATACTTACCTTTCAGACATGTCACGTATTAAGATCCATGCTTTGTAGGAGAAATATTCACCGTATACTGTAAAACATTTGCGACATTTATAGCCACAGGACAAGGTTAGACTTGAACGCTTTTCTTTTGTCTTTCTAACCCTTTTTATAATTATCCGAACTTCGGACTTCGATCCGAGTGGACCCCAAGGAGATATCACGTGCACGCATTTTACCGTAATAACAGCCGAGGCCGATACGACTCGTCATTGACTCTTGTCAATCTCTGCTGCCTTGCGTGTCGTATCGGCCTACACAAACCGCAGCATAGCATGAGTTATACAGGCATATCCTATTGGCTGCATTACGTTGCCTCTACGCAAAATACGCTATAAATCGAAATCGTATAAGTACTTCGGATATGGCTTGAATAGCTTCAATACCGAGTGCAACACACCGAGACATCTACCTCCTGACATCCATGGGCCAAACTATAGCGTTCCTTCGTGCAGTGTACGACGATGTCAGACTTCCCAAGCCCAAGTTTATCGTAGACGACATCCCAGATCTGTCGGGAAAAATCGTGATCGTCACTGGCGGGTACACAGGCATCGGTCTAGAAACAGTGCGTGCGTTACTGAAGAAGAATGCAACGGTGTATATTGCTGGAAGGAATAGAGCGAAGGCCGACTCTGCGATTGCGGATCTGCATAAGGATACGGGGAAGGAAGCCATCTTCCTTGAGCTAGACCTTGCGAGTCTGAAGTCTGTGAAGAAGGCTGCTGAGGAATTTATGAGGTGCGTGTATTTTTATTTTATTTATTTTCGGCATCCTTTCTAACACCTAGCTTTCTGATCTATCGACGTCAATCAGCAAAGAGACTCAACTCCATATCTTATTTAACAATGGGTATGTCCTTCGCCTTGCTTATCCGGATAGCACTGATTTCATTCTGTTAGCGGAGTAATGTATCCGCCAATTGAACAGCTCACAGCTGACGGATATGACCTTCAATTTGGTACGAACGTACTTGGTATGTAAAGCACTCCTCACACACAGTTATACTTTCTGAATTTCCAATTGAATATAGGCCATTTCTACTTTACTCAACTCCTCATTCCCGTCCTTCTCGAGACCGCTAGGGCTTCATCTGACTCCCACGTCCGAGTCGTCACAACCTCTTCGTTGGGACACATGATGCATGCATCCTCTAACATCCTCTACGACACTCTACGCGATTCACCCGAACGCAAGGAATTCGACACCTTTAATCTCTATTACCAAAGTAAATTTGGGAACGTTCTAATTGCACGTGAACTTGCAAGGAGGTATGGTGATCAGGGAGTCGTTTCCATGTCTGTCCATCCTGGAATCATCGGGACAGAGCTAGGGAGAAACCTGAGCTGGATTAAACAGAAGACATACGTTCGTCTGATTCCCTTTTTTCATTTGAACATATCAATGTGACCAGTGCGATACTAATGTACATCCTCTAGGGTCTGATTGTTTATCCACCTCCGTTCGGCGCGCTTACCCAACTGTATGCTGGGACGTCTCCGGAAGCAAGAGACTTAAATGGCGCATACCTCATTCCATGGGCACGTGTTGCAGAATGCCGCAAAGACGCACGCGATCCAAAGACAGCAGAGGAATTGTGGAAGTGGTGTGAGGAACAAGTCAAGGATATCTAACGTGCCATGTTTATCATTGCGATTTGCTGATTCTTTTCATTTCATTTTTGTCTATGTGTAATCCTTACCCAAACATTATTAATTACTGAAACAGTACTCTGTTTACTAATATCATATAATTACTAATTCTTAAATAGATATTTTCTAATTTGAGTCCTGGATAAAATGCAAGGTTACGAGTTAGCCAAGGCAACTTTTGCTTTTCTGGCATACACAAAACAGATGTGAGACTTAGAAATAGCATGTTTTGTTACTCTGAATCGATTTATAATTTTATATACGACTTGGATTTCTGGAGGCTCAACTTGGAAGGTTATTTCCCCAGGCCAGAATGATTGTGTATCTCCCCCACAGCGCTCTTTGTGCGGGGCCGTTCGGACCGGAATGCGGGGCTGCCAAATATGGCATGAGCGGATCACTCATGAGCTTATGATCACCTCACCTCACCAGCTCGTGACCCGCGTGTGCTCTTAGCATTGTTCCAAAGCAACAACTCCCGCTCGTCAAATCGTCGGTATTCTACGCTGCTAGTCTTCGTCCACAGAAGACGACGGAGAAACGTAGGTGTCTTGCGTCATACCGCAGTTGCATTTTGTTCTATTCTTTGTGACGTTTAGACATCCGCTGACGGCTATCCTTATTATCAAACATCTCAACAGACGAACACAAGTTCACGGCATACACAGGCTTCGATATATTTCAATTGGCCTGCGCTGACGTCGTATCGGGAGAGAACGGGCTGTCCTATTTTCGGTATTGGTCCGGCGGTGCATTTATTTGGATTTGGCCTCGATTGAGTTGATAGAGACGTGTGGACGCACGAACTCTCTTTCGTTCGGCACGCACCTGTCCGTGGGCTTCAAGCGTACGGTCCCTGCGCGAATTGAACGCTCGTTGACCATTGACGATCAAGTCGCGCTGTCCCTTTCGTTTCATTGCTTTGCGCTGCGCACGCATTTACTTTGTCGCGTACCCCAAACGCCGCTCTCCAACCAGTGGGGGTTGAAACACTTGGCATCGACGGCACGTACACCCTCCGATAATTGTGGAACTTTGTTTGTAAACGCAGTATATCGTCAGGATGGTGAGTTGTGTCCTCGCCCCGTTTTTATGCTTTGCTTGTCCTCTTTGCATGCGAAACCATCGAATGCTGACCCGGATTTACGTGGCGTAGACTGTTGCGACGTCAGAACACCCTCATTCACCTCACCAGCACCCGCATCAGGTGCATCATTCGTACCCGCACCAACAGGCCAGTCAGGCACATCATTCAATGACCCGAGAGACGAGTCGGGAACACGAGCGAGACGTGCATGGCCTGAGGCTTGCGCTCGGGAGCATATTGAGTCCTGTATGTCTACCTCTTCTATCGTTCCTTCATTCATACACGTCTCGGCTTAATACTCATATAATGCCTTCAACAAACAGAAACGACTGTCTACACCCTCCTCACGTGCCTCATCTGGCACCGCCTCCCCTTGTCCAGCACATTTCGGTCCCGGACTTGTGCATGCATATCATCATGGGCCGTCCCACTTGCATACTCCCGTAGATCCCCAGGATGAATCACAGAGCTTAGGCCAGCCAAGGTCTCCACAGGATGGGCCAAGCACAGACGAGTCTGGGCATTTAGCAGTCCCGCAGCCGAAGAGGCCCGCCATGTTAAACGTGCGGTCCATTTTTCGTTCTTCCATTAAGACTTTGACTGATAATATTACTATACAGCGCGCGTCGTCTTCACATTATTCTCAAGAACAAGCTACCTCTCTTCAGCACGAACACGAACTCGAGAATGAATCAGCAGCACCACCGATCCTAACCACAAGCAACGTCCACGCGCTTTCACCTTCTCAAGCCCAATCTGTCAAAGAAGCTCAGAGCGGTAGTAGCAGCACCGGAGATGCGACTACTCTGAAACGTTCATCAAAAGAAAGAGATGGGAAAGAGAACGCACATGCGTATGGCGTGAGCGCATACATCGCGACGCTGCAAAGCAAGCGTGCGTGGGACGCACTCGTTCATGGGAACATGTCATGATGATTAGTCGATTTCCTGTCTCTCATTTCCACGACGGTTCTATCGTGGACATGAGGCGAGCGAGTTTTTGATCTAGACCGGGTGGTGTGTGCGGTGCGGTGTACGGGTGGGCTTCGCGAAGGAGAGAAGATATCGGACGGACATGATCGTGGAATATGGAGTCATCGGTTAAAGTTATACTTTTTCCAATTTCACTTTTCCCCTCTCGTTGTTATTTGTTCCTGCTTCTGATTGGTTATGCTGCTGTATTTTGGTGTTTGTATGATCATTGACCTTCACCCCCACTCTGATTCTCCCTGATCCACCTTGATTGACCATTTCATTTATTCCGTTTTCCTTTTACTTCACTTATCCCTCCCTGTGTATCCGGGTATCCTGTGCTGATGTAGACCTTCACAAATTGCATGTATCTGGATTGCTTAATGTTGTATTTTGGCGACTAATCTAAGCGCTACGGCTCAGGTGTGGTGCGTTCGCTGTTCGGTTTGAAACTCAAGCCATCCGATTGGCTAGATATTTGATCGGCGATTGTATTATATAATCAGAAAGTAGTGCTCCTCGATCGCACTGTTGTTTGCACAGTTGGGTGACGTCTTTATGACGGGTCTAACAACTTGTGACTTATAAGTGCCTTCCATTCGCTATCCATTTTCTGTACCCGATCCCTTCCTTTCGATCATCTTGTATCGCCTATTCTTTCATGTTCGTCATTACCTACGTCGTTGAATGATTCAGCTTGGATTCGACAATATTACTACCTATATAAGTTCTGAATGAATCTGCCTTAAGTCTACATGTTCGTTCTGAGGCGACCCGTCCTCTCTTCACTCCAATTTTCAAGACTCTGTAAACCAACCCGGGCCACTAAGCTTTCTCTAGTCAGAACCAAAACAAACCCAGCACCTCTTCTTGTCTACCACCTTACCACCACAGCAATACGCAGCATGACGACTCCAGCAGGAACAGCTCCAAAGGGTGCACTCACCGCTGCAATCGCAGAAGATCACCAAGAGATGTACGAATACTTTGATCAATACAAGACTGCACGTTCTTCAGGTGATTTGGATGCTGCTGAGCGGTGGGCTCGGCAATTAATCTGGGAGGTGGCGAGGCATGCGGTCGGGGAAGAGATCGTCGTATATCCGCTTATGGAGAAACATTTGGGTGAAAGAGGTCTGAGTCTTGCGAATCAGGATCGGGAGGATCATCAGGTTAGTGTGCATTATTCGATAGTAGATACTGCACCGTCAGCCTAATGTATACTTTAACAGTTCGTGAAAGAAAAGTTATACACACTCGACAGAACAAGCATCGAGTCTCCTGAATACGACCCGCTATTGAACGAAGTGATGTCCCATCTCCACACACACAACGATAACGAAGAGACCAAGGACCTTCCGCTTCTCGAGCCAGTCCTTGGCGCAGAAAATAGCGAGAAAGAAGCAAGGAGCTTCAAAGTTACTAAGAAATTCGTTCCTACACGGTTCGTACTCTAACTTTTGCTATAATGCTCTGTTCCGCATTTGACCACACAGACTAATATTTGTTCCGACCCTAGGCCACACCCATCAGCTCCGAACAGACCTCCTCTCGAAACATTTGCAGGGTTCCTCGCTGCACCGATTGATAAACTCAAGGACATGTTCGCAAAGTTCCCAACGGAAGAGATGAAGGAACAAGTCGAATCTTGAATAGTTTACGAACATGGTTCTGGAAGCGTTCCGTATTAGCACCTAACCTTTGCCCTTCGTCTATACACATCGAAAACGCATGTTTGGGTATATAGTTGATTTTGCACTAGTATAGATATAAGTATCGCTATTCTATCTAGCGTGAGGTGTCATAAAGATGTGTAAATCTAGCAGGATTTTCGGCTCGAAGTAGGGTCTGTTAGTTAGGCAAATGTGTTGCTTTCTGTTTAATAAGGCAGGATAGACTACATGCTTCAAATACAGACTACTAATGAATCAGACAATTTAAGTTAATGCTAAATGCTTGTATAATGACACAGTATCAATCAATTTTTTGTATAACTTCAAATTCTAAGATATTAGAAAGTGTTTACTAGGCTTAATTGTTAAGTACTACATAGTAGTCTAAAAGCTTGAGGTCACTCCAGTATGATCATTTGTGTGTTGGTGCTTCTCTGAAAGCCGATTTTGCCTGGGTTTTGATGGATTTCTTGGAAGCACACTAATAGACTTGTTGACTGTTCTTTTCAAAGTTTGCTTATCATGTAACTTCTTAGCAAGTGGCTCCATTGCTCTAACTGCTATCAAGCCTGCCTTCCATTTTTTCATTGCTTTTTGGTCCAGGTATTTATCCTCACAACTATCAAACAACTTTAAAGTACAATATAATATACATTTATAACTCAAGAGGGATATTCAAAATTTTAACAACTTACCTGATGACCCAGAAGCGTTTCAGCAGATGCTCTGGCTACTGGGTTAACGTTTAAGCAACTCAATAAGAAATTTTCCGCTTTACAATTGTTTAAAACACATTAGAATTATCCTTATATTTATACTAGTAGCTAGTCTTGAATAGCTCACCATTCTGACTAAGATATCTTCTATTATTTCTTATAACATAGTCTATATTATCATTAGTGACTTTCTTTGCAATTTGATCGACTTTTCCAGACAGGAGTAGTATGTCTTTAAGGTCATAGTAAAGAGATCTTGCATTAAACACTATATATGCTGATACTCTAAGAAATATTAGTATATTCTAAATTGAGAAATTCCAAAATGAGTGTATAGTACCCAAGTGACCAAATGTCGACTGTTTCTGTATACAGTTCATCCTTGGACAATCTATAAAGTTCTGGAGCAGCATACATAGGTGATCCACACTTCTTCTGTGCTCTTTTAGTTTCGCTATAAGTAGCACTAGGAAGAGTTTTTACTTATGTGGTCATGAGTGGGAGAAGTTGTACTCACAGTCCGAAATCACTTAGCAGGAGTATGTCTTCAAGAAAATTCTTATTTGCGCCTTTTATAAGAAAATTATCAAGTCTAAAACAGATATATAAAATTAAAAGAATCAACCAGTAAGCTACTATGTCTTAAAAGCCTATTTTCGATTGATAACTCACTTTAAGTCCCTATGTAATACATTTTCCGAATGAAGATATGCTACTGCATCAACAATCTGCCTTCAAATTCTATTTAGATGGAGAACAACTTGAACTGACGCAAAACAAAAATCTGCACCTTATATAATGTGCTGCAATTGCTTCAGAGAAGCGGGAAGCCTTGACGAGTCGATCGAAGACATTGCCACCTTGAGCATATTCAAGAACAATCACCCAAGAATCGTCGTTCTCAAATGCTCCATAGCACCTTATCTAAAAGGTGTCGGTCAATTTGCACATGTATAATATATTAGTGGTCTCTATACATACAACATGCTTGTGCCGCAGTTTTGCCAATAATTTTATCTCACTAATTGTGCTGTCTTCAGTAATTTTGTTCATATCCTCAGTTCTCTGTTTACCATCCGGTCCTTTTTCCTTTCCGACCACCTTGGCAACATATTCTACCGGTTCATCTTTTCCAAGGTCATTACGTTCAATTACCTAATTAGAGTTGCATTTTCCTTAAAATCACTATTGTCTATTTGTGTAAAATGTGTGAGTAGCATAATACATACCCATACAAAAGCTTGATTCCCTGCACCTGCTCGAGACACCACTTTCAGTTCTTGTGGTATTTCATTACCTTTACTATTGTTTGCCCATAACCAACTAGAATGAAACTTTGGACCATTTGCATCATTTTGAAACAGAGGCTTCAGGCTTGTCAATAAACTTGGCATTGTTGACATTTCCCAAACACTGTAAGAGAGATTAGAGCTTTGGTACAAGAACACAAACCAGTTCTCAAATTAGAGAGAGTGAGGGAGAAGTAGTCAAACATTAAATACCTACTCTATAAACTTTAAATGACTTTGCATTCTGTAAAGTACACAGTAATGCATAATTTATAATACTTTGCCCTTTCTTATCTAATCCATACTTGTCACATATAGTATTATGTGTAAGGTCAGACTCTTACTATATAATAATTTTGCACATATACATACTTTGCTTTACTACTAGTAGTATAAATAATTCAGAAGGTCTAAAAGTAAATAAATATATATATATACAGTCAAACTTAGTTACTATAATAGTATATAAGTATTAGAGTTAACAACTTACAGTATGAACAAGTACTAGATAGAGTGTAAGGAATTAATACTTAAATCTAAATAATTAAACCATTATGAAACAGATAATAGTAACACTTATTTTGACTTGAGTGTATTGTTATCTTGAAGAATATCTCTTAGTTACTTAGTAAAACTTATAGTAAGATATTTAACAAAATATTTTGAAACTACTTTAATAAATTTTACTATTTAGTTATATTATACAAGTATAATTCTTAATATATAGAGAATTTTGAATAAGAAAGTTAGTAGCTCAGAATAAAGTATATTATTATAGTTGCTATTGTATACTTTATATAAAAAACCTTATAAATTGTCTTACTTATTAGTAAATGTAAAGTATAACAAATATTAAAGTATTAAATATATTACTTTTAAAGGAGTAAATAAAGTACTTTGAGAATGTATTACTATTTGATTCTGGATTCCTGAGTTTATTTGTTGTTATTTTATACTAATATTCACTCTAAATATTATTACTTAATATTACTTACAGAAAAATAAAGAACTAAATAATAAAGTACTACTTTTAGACTTTGTTATAGAATATAATTGTTAACTACTTCTCTAACTCAACAAATTAACAGAAAATGTTTAACTAACACTGTATTCAAATATACATAATTGTACAGTTACTTAATATAATAGTTTGAGTAGTTATTATTTACTATTATATAAAAGTACTTTTTATTAAATTTTAACTTAAATTTGTATATTCTTATATAGTGTCACACTCATGCAACATGTACATTCTGATACATTCCAATCAGAAGGGCTCAGTCACATCAAAGTTGCATCATCCTCATGTCAGCAATCCTTCAATTATGTCATCATTGCCTACACAATAGTCTTGGTTGCTCAATTTGGACTAGTTAGGTTCTGGACTCCAGTTCTGATTCACAAAGGCAAGACTCTGAGCCTTTGGACAGCTGGTTGATCAATACAAAGGGGACTCAGATCCAGAGTCCTGGATGGGTTGATACAAAGGAGACAGTAGTAGAGTTGTTCACAAAGGACTAGTAGCTACAAAGGACTGATAATTTCTATAAATACCCTCATGTATTTCATACTTTCCAGGAATCAAGTTACTCTCTATTACAACTCTTAGTGTGTAGTTTGACAGTCTCCTCAGTAAACATTCCATCTTACCTTGTCTTGTCTCATATTGCCTTGTTCCAAAGTACAGCTTTGTTGTTCCACACTACTCTTGTCTTGTTAATTGTCACCTTTGGAACTTGTACATTCTGCTTGGATCTACCTATTCCTTCTCACTCTTGACCCCTCTTGGTGTCTGTACCTTGCAGACTCAACTGACCTCTTCTACCTCAACTGGTACTTGAGATTGACAATAGTTCTGAACTCTTAACACAAAGTTAGCAAGTAAGTAAGAGTAGTATACAATAGTTATACTCTCTTAGTACTTAGTAATATAACCTTTTCCCTTTTTAGATTTTAGTACTATTTAAGTATTATTAAGTATTATAAGTATTAAGAGAAAAAATGTTACAGTTCTCTACTCTTGTACTTTCAGTTCTGAGGGTTCCACACCCTTCTATACTGGAACTCAGGACTTCTGTCCCTCAGAGGTGCTGTCTATAAACTATATGTATACTGACTCTTACTACTACCCTTCCTTACTTTATTATTCCATTCCTTTAACCACCCCTTCATTCTTTGTTCATTCTATAGTCTCTTACCCTTTGTCTATCCCTTCATTCTTTGTACCTTTATCTTTGACCTTCCTTTCTTTCATTCTTTGTAGCTTATCATTCTTAGTGACTCATACTCTCTGAGTACTCTTGTGTAGTTTAGTATATATAGGCATACAAGATCAGACTAGTCCTATAGTCTTGATCTTGTCTACTCTAGGTAGTCCTGTACTTTTAGGCTTATTCTATATACTCTACTCTTGTCTCACTCTCTCTCTCTACCTGTTCTACAAGTTCTGACTATGTTCTAGTACTTACATTCTGTATTTCTGTTGTATAGAATAGTTGTAGCCTGGGTCCCCTTACTAAGCCTTTGAGTCCCCTCTATACTGTTACTAATATCAGATTAAGACTACCTATTACCACCCTATGACTCTCTTATGTTTTGAGCATTAGTACTTGCTGTTGTGTCAATCTCTTTTCTTTGTCCTAACCCTTTTACATTTTTAAATTTTAAACTTTCTAAACCCTTTTAAACTTTTGTCACCCTTCTTCTATTTATTACCCCTTTTAGTTTAGTACTGATTCCTTTGTAGTGTAAACATGAACTCTCCTACACTAACTGTCACCCCTACTGTCCTACCAGATTAGCAGTTACAAGCAGACCTAGCTTAATATGTGTAGACCTCTATTTAAGAGGCCTTTACTAATTATGTACTCCTAGCCTTCTTAGAACCTGTTCTAATCATTCTAGAAGTTGTAACCTGTTCTAGAAAGAAAGTGTATGTAGCCTACCCTTTAGACTTTAATAGGTAACACTTTGAGGACTTCCAGTACTAAGTCAAACTATATATGGCTACTACTTTAACTAATCTATCCTCAGGTCTTAATTGTGTCCTATTTGTCCTCTCCTTCATGAAGGAAGGTAATACAGTCACCTAAGCTTAGAACTAGATTGAAGGCTATTAGATTGGAAGCCTAATCTGACTTTAGAATAATGAGTTGTATTCAGAATTCATAAGGCAGCTCTGTGCTTCCTTCATCAATCTGAATAAGAAGTATAATGTACAGAACAAGCTTGTGTCTCTGTAACAGGGTAAACATTCTACTAATACCTTCTTTCAGGAGTTTGATATCCTAGCCTAGAAGGCAGGATTTGTACTCAGGTTTAATAATATCCTTATCAGAATGCTTGAAAAAGCTCTTCACCTAGAACTAGTTAATAAGATTCTTAGAATAATACTAGAACTGGTCACTTACACTGAGTAGAAAATGTGTACCATTTCCTTTGACCAAACTGTGGCTCAAATGTGTCAAGTCTGTACAGAATGCTTACACATACATTTGGCTCTGACAGTTCTAAGCCCTCAGATCAATCTGCCTATAATTTGTAATCAATCTGTTCTGATAAACATTAGAGAAGCCTAAAAGTAAGGAGTATACTTTGCCTACAGAAAGTCAGGGTACTAAATTAAGGACTGCTTGTAGAAGTAACAGTATATCTGTCAGGTCATTAGAGTAATAACAAGTAATGAGTAGGATTTGTAGTAAGAAGCCTTTTTTGTAAATCCAGAAGTCACCTCAGAACTCTTAGACCCTGACTATGTACTCTAGGATTTTATAGAGGCCTAACAGTGAATGTAGTACTGAAGGGCTATAACTTGAATTTTTTAATGGCCACTTTTGATTCAATAAACACTGTAGGATTAGAAGTAAATAAAGTAAGAAAAGTAGAAAAAGTAGAAAAAGTAAATCAACAAAATTATTTATTAGAAAGAAAAAAGTTGAAAACAAAAGTAGATAGTTCTCTTATTTCTTCTGATTCTTTTGATTCTTCTCTTTACACTTTATCTGAGTCTAAATCTATACAATCCAACTTACTACTTCTACATTCTAAAATCTTAGAATGTTCAGAACACTACCTAGCCCTGTTTACTACTCAGTAGTTTGTCTATAGTATTAAGTAGGGATAGTCTCAGCTGAGTTCACAGCTGAGAATATGAGTCTGTCCTTGTTAAAAGAGAGAGGTTAATAAGGAAATGTTAGTATATATACTTATCCTCTCAGACAATAAGACTGTACAAGCTGTATGTTCCTTTTAGAACAAGTAGTAGTTTATTAGAGGACATTCTAGACACTAGCTCTAGGTCCCTGTCCTCTTAGCTCTCTTCTCAGGATCCTCCTAGATCTGAATAATGACTCTGGTAGACAGTAGATGTATTAGTTTGTACATTAATAAGGCCTTTGTGTAGGAACACTACCTCCCTACTTAATGTGTTCTACTTCTAATCCTAGTATATAATGTAGACAGAACCCTAAACTAGAATAGTCAGATTACTAAGTTTGTCCAACTATGGATGACCATTTAGGATTATGAGGAAAGTATTGAGTTCAGAGTTACTAACCTTAGAAAGACAGACATCTTTATTAGATTTGAATAGTTTAAGGCTTACAACCCTACTATTAACTAGTTAGAGTAGACACTTACATTTGATCAGTGTTTCAAGTCTTATAGCTACCTTACACTACTGTTCTAAGTGGATACAAATACTTCCAATGTTACTAACAGTTCTAATAAAGGTGACTAGTTGTTCTTCTTCAACTAGGATAGATATATGGACACATATTCTAGTTAAGGCAGAATAGAGTCAATCTGAAGGATGTCTAAAACAGAACCAGTCTAGATGTTAGGAATTGTAAAATACAGTAACTAAGTTTGGAAAAGCTTAACTCAAGACTTGGGACTGAGTAGTTTATATACAAAACCCTATTGGTCACAAGTCTAGAGATTGGCCAGATCAACTAGGATACCTTTGTTGTCCTACTTAGTAAGAACTCTAGCTTAGCATTATTAACCTCTAATCATTACTAATGGGTGATCAAGCCATTAGTAGAGAGAGGGGACAGGAAGGAGT